GCCTCACTTTTCTTGTAGGAGTGGTAGAGCATCACACCTTAAAGTAAACATAAAAATACATTGATTTGAATGCCTTATATATCAACATATATAAACCTGACCCCATCATTGAGAAAATAGAGTTTGACTGATAACATCTCTTGCATTACTGGATAAATAGCCTTTACTTTGATATCAATAGAAACTCTGCATATTTTCAGACCCATATTTCCCTCGTGGTGTAGTAGTCAGGTGGTCTAATATGATTTGACTAGAAATTCAAATGTCCAGGGTTCGATACCCTGCATGGCACTTATGTCGTTGGGCAATGCATTTTATTGGGATCGCTTCTCTCCACCAGGTGTTATATGGGGTCAAATTTCAATGTGATTGAATTAGCATGTGCACACACATAAACAGAGCAACTGGCTGGAATGTTTCCCAAGGGAGTGTAGAGTGTTCGCTGTAGAGTGCAAAATCATAACAGAATCCAGTTACCGGGGTTGTTATAGCGTAAGCACTTTGTATGGTTATGTATAACTATAACTCTTGTAATTATCTCACCTTTGACATTTCGGGCAGCATTGTAAAACTGTTCACTGTAAATTTTACTGTGAAGGATATTGTCTTGGGTTTGAATGGTAGATTCCATCCTCTTTTCTTCTACTCGGGTGATTTGTCCCTTGTTGATTGCCAGTTTTCGGAATGTAAGTAGACCAGGGTTCGGCAGGTTAGGTTCAGCTGAAGCAAGCGCCATTGGATCGGACGGTTCTCCCTGATAACTTGCCATTGTTTGAGATGGATCTAGAAGAAAAAGAATTAAACATCGAAAAAAATCGAAAAACACATAACAAGCCCAAGAGTTCTCCATTGGGCTGTAGCTATTTGCTGTTAATCATGTTTGCTTTTATAGATATAGGATTTCCCATCCATGTTAACACTTTTTTCATTTGAAAGGCATTCTAACCTTGTTAATGAGTTATTTCATATTTATATCACTTTGCAATGATACCAAACCATATATATATATCTAGATCTTGCATCTATTTATCTATCTATCAGGCTATAGTTCATCCAGATGTTGGACAAAGCCCTCCTCATAACATTTCCATTCTCTTCTGTCTCTAGCTGTCCTAGTCCAAGATCTTGCATATCAGTTGGTAATTAAGCCATACGTAGCAACTGGTTGTGAATATCAGTTGGTAAGGAAACAAAAATACAACCAATCGTGAATATAAATCGGTAATGATACTAAAACATAACTTGTCTTGCGTATCAATTGGATTGGATACTAGACCATAACTATTCAAAAATATAAGTCAGTAAGAATACTGAAACATGACTAGTCTTGAATATCAGTTGGTAAGAGCACTAAAACATAGCTAGTCTTGAATAATAATGTCAGTAAGGTAGGAGAAATAACTAGTCTTGAATATCAGTCGGTGCTTTTACTATGAAATAACTAGTACAATTGCCAATTGATATTCAAGACTACATATTGCACAAATACTTGATCTGTAAGTTTCATGTCAATATACACTATTTCAGCAGAATTAAAGAGACCCAGTAACATTGCCTCAGATTCTGAAACAAAATCCTGGATTTAGCTCATGCTGCAATTATAAACCTTTAGGTCAGTCAAGAATTCCATGACTTTACAAGTCGATCTCCTGTCTGATTATCAAGATATTTATGATTGGAAATCTAAATCAAATTTTGTGTTTTCCTAACGGTCTTTATAACACTACAGTCTTTTGGGGAAATGAGTATGGTAAATCCAATCACTCTAAGATTTAAAAAAATTTGAAATGCAATTTTTTAAAGGTATTACAAAGTTTTGGGGAAATTTGAAAAATGGGTGGATAGTGATTCTTTACAATTTTGATATATTTGGATGCCCCTGTGGATGTATTAAAAACACCAGAAATTTTAGCCGTTTAAAACACTTCTGCTTTCGAGAAAATTGAATATATAGATTTACCGGTGCTCCCGGTAAATTTTGATAAATTTCAAATAGCTCCTACGGCCGTACAATGGTAGCTGCGACCAAGAACATCTCAGAGTATGTAGTTCTGGTATATGATTTCCGGACGAGAATAGCTAATCGGTCGATTTTAGTCAATAAACATTGTTTTATAGCTCAATTAATATCTTGACCTTGAGAGGGAGCTATTCAACATAAAGTGTTTATTATTTACAATTTCATAACTTTAGAGTCGATTTCGACCGCGACAATGATCACTGAATATTATAGGATCGCATGCTTCCAATATGTTCATTTGAACCAAATTCATGACCCCATACCAAAACTTTGTAATACCTTTAAGGGTTTCAATATTTCACACCATAACACAGACACTGATAACACGTAGGGCCATGCATCTCAGATTAAACATTGTTAAACGATACCTTTAAAGCAGAAGTGCACTACTTGTAGCTACTTGTGCCCTCTATATAGCAAACATTGCCTAAGCGGTACCCGTTGGTCCCCCCCCCCCCCCGATCTTCTTTTTCTGATGTTAATTAAGAGCTGATTTGATGAGATAACCACCTGTCAGTGACCTTGCAGGGAGGTCTAATCCCTCCTGGCCAAACTAGAGCAGACAGTCGTTGGATATTGTATATGTTGGGAATTTATTCTCACACTTAGCATTCAAGACCTTAGATGCCATGCATACGACTCACATAAATACATGTAACTTCACAGAGACTGTGGTCTGACTGGATAATAAAGGGAGTGTGTCATGAGGAGACTATGTGTCTTTCCCGTGGGCCTACTCGGGGCCAAGCTGGGTTTAATACAACTACGGACGATGCAACCGCAGCATTCACGTCCGTGCAACAATACGCGAAACCGAAGCGTGACGAGAATTTTGGTCTGTTTCGCGAACGCTAGTGCGCGCTGACACAGTTTAGCGCGCGCTGACCCAGTTAATCAAGTGCATTCGTTTACATGCAGTTTTCCAAAAGAAGACGTAGATGGCATTAACCGGTATTTCCCATGATACACTCCCTTTAAATGAAATGAGATGGATAATACAACTTACATGATAGGCATTGGTTTGACAAGGATATCTGTAAAGTATGGCCTCTCTGGACTCAAGAATTACAACACAGATTACCAAGACGGTGAGCTGTTCATTGTAACAAGTCCAGCGTAGCATATAATTCCGCCTTGGTTCCTCGTATGACTTTTCTCTGCGCTCTATTTTATATATACAGTCATCTGCGGGAGCCTCCAAATCTGGTTTTCCCAAGTTTATAAATACATTTCAGACACAATAGTGTATATCTGAATATGATACAATGATGTTTATTCATTCCGTACCTGATGAATGCATTCGCATCTTCGAGAAGAGTAGTCCATTGAATTTTAGGGGGTAACCCAAAAGTTATTGCAAAATAATTTATTTCACTGCAGTGCTCTTTGGAATAATTCTTAAGCAACAAACTAAAATTTAAGTAATGGAAAGCATAATATGCAAATTAGCTCTCTTTTTTCTCTTCAATTTATTCATGTTTCCAACCAACAAATCAATTATAAGCATTTTTTTTAAATGTAGAAATACACATTGGAAACAGAAGGGTCCACTAAAAAGGAATACTTGTACAAGTGTGAACACCTGAAATGATACTTGGGACTAATAAGTAATTAAATTACAAGTCTGTAACTACAAAAGGAACTTCAAAATAGGGGGAAAAGGGGGATACCAACAGAGATGAGAAAGGGACAAGACAATGCTTTACATGACAAAGAGAAGTGACAGATCGGAGGTACAGGAAATAATACAAAATTCATATTTTTACTATACATTTGCACTAAACTTTCAGGGTGTTAGCACTTGAAGTGATGTTTATAAGGTCAGCAATCACCATGACATGTTCAAACTCATTTTATGTCTATAATTTGCATAATATGCAAATTGTTGAACATAGGTCATGAAGAAAAATGAGGGAAAAATATCAATTTTTTTATGATTTTGCATCTAAATACCAGACTTACACAATTTAAATGCCCCACATTATGTTCCCAATGTTATTACACATGATAGATACATTTTACATTTGTGTACAAACAAGTATCTATCATATAGATATTTAAATTCATGTTTGCCCTAGAAAGTGGCATGTATATGTATCCGATTGAAACAAATGTTCAATCCGATGTTTTCAAAGGCAGTGAAATAATGTATTGCATGTGATTTGCATAATGCACCAATATTTTTCAACAACAGAAAAAATCAAATTGTGGAGGTCCTTTGAATATCATTTATAACCAATTTTAACAAATCAAGTGTTCAATTCAATGTTTTTGGGGTCAGTGAACAAGGTGGACACATTAAAAAAAATATTATAATTGTTATTTGTCAAAAAAATAATGAGAATCATATTTTTATCAAAATCTGCTGCCTAAGATCCAAGTAAAATCAATTCATATGCAATTGCTTTTACCCATGTCACTGTACATGGTTAATTCATTTTAAGATTGCTATAACCAGTAGATTTTACATGATATGCGAATTAGCTTTATCCATAAAAATATAAAAATTCATAATAACATCTTGAATGGCATCCAAGTCCCCTCTTACCACAACTCAGGTGAAAGTTATGTTTCTGGAACATAGATTTAACTAAATTCAGGTGGAGGCATATTGGAGATGCTGTTGTCACACATGTCTTGTTTGTATTTTAGCTTATTGTCATTTATGCTAGATCAAGGTGTAATGATTTTTTGGGGGGAGATATGTTTGGAGGAGTTTTATTTTATTTTACTAGAATCAAAATGCCATTTAAATTTAAAATTCAGCTCAATTTTGCTATGATCCTTTTGTCTTATGTGACAAATGATAAGTAGTGAAAAAATGATACCTATATTCCTTATACTTGTGTAAAAATATTCCCTTTTTGATTAATTCATTGCTCTATTTTCTTTCTCCAGTTTCAGCAAAAGAAAGTGTGACTTTGCAAAATAAATAATGTCCTGTCTACACTGTACACATCTCATTAAAAAAATGTATTTTTCTATTTTTGTGCTCATTTTGCAGGGAGTTATACAATTATAACGATGTCAAGATTCCCCTGGTATTGACTGACCTTGAGAAGCTGGAGAATAAACCTGAACCAAAAGAAGTATCAGGTACAAATGTTTGTTTGGAGCCAGAAGGGCATTAACTCATATAATGCCCTTCTGGCTCTGAAGAGACCATTTCAGCTTTAATTATGTCTCCATGGTAACAAGATGAGGGGAGATATAAAGATGTATGAATGACAGTGGTTTATTCAACTACCTTACAATCATAAGGTTGAGAGTTGAAACCTAAGTCTGGCACTAATAGATATTAGTGGTCTAAATCAGGTGCCTGATATTAGTCCCTTGTCAACGGGTTAAAAAAAAATGCTTTTTGGGGAAATTTTGGTAGGATTTTTGGAAAGAAAATGTCATAACTATTAAAGAATATGCACATTGTTTCAAAAAAAAATTACAAGCATTTTAAAGATTATGATTTGTGTTTTTTTAATGATTTTTTAATTGCTTTTTTTTCTTTAATATTCCAAACTGCTGTATGACTATTTACCCCTATTTTTGTATAGATATGATATTGGAGATGATTTTAACAAAGAAATATTGCAAAAAAATTATATTCATAGCTATTGTGTATCACTATCTGTAAATGTATTTCATTTTATACGCCCTCAACGATGAGTATGAGGAATTTTTACCTGCATTTCTGGAAGGATTTGACAGTGTTTGACTATGCAATAGATCAGAAATTTTGTCATTGATACACAATCAGTGGAAACATTGACAATCGCAGATGATAATTTCTCATACTCATTGTACTAGGGCGTATAGGACCAATTGACAACAGTCTAAATGCTAGAGCACTACATGTATATTATTAGGCAGCTCAGCAATGAATCGAGCACTGTATAGAAGTCACCATCAGAAGTGCCGGCAGTAATAGTAGTAGTAGTAGTAGTAGTAGTAGTAGTAGTAATAGTAGTTGAAGTAGTAGTACAGATAGTATCATCATCATCATCCTTATTATCGTAGTTGTTGTTGTGTTGTTATTTTTATTTTTATTTTTATTATAATTATTATTATTGTTATTATTATTGTTATTATTATTGTTATTATTATTGTTATTATTATAGTTATTATTATTGTTATTATTAATATTATTAATATTACTAATATTATTAATATCATTATTATTGTCACTATTAGTAATGTTATTACCATTACTTTTTACTATTAGTATTACCGTTGCTATTACTTTTATCATCTTTAAATACTTCAGTACTCCTATTATTATGTCATGCATTAAAAATCTGCCTTTCCCTGCTTTGAGTCCATGCAGTCTGTTCAATGTTGCTGACTCATTCACTGAATGTCACTACATTCTCAAAAATTATAAAGCAAACACGAAATATTCAGTTAGGTCATGCACCATTGTGCTATTGTATTGACTGGTACACAACTGTTAGTCTTTCTGTTCAGACTCAGAATTGTGAATGAAGTTTGGGTTTGATTATACAATGGCTGTACTAGCAGCTAATGCAGCTGGTCTGTAGGATACATCAAGCTGTCCTCTTGTTGTACAATTTGGTGCGGTATAAATACTATTTGAAAGTGGTATATAATGTAATGCAAACATGTGAAATATCCAACTATTTCAAGAAAATTAACTGCTATAAACTTCTCTTTCATTGATTTTGCAAAGTACAAACATAATGTTAGAACTGCACATTTGGGAGATCAGATTCTGTCCGTTTTTATAAATTTGTTATTCTTCAATTATCTATGTCTTCCTCCCTTCCACCTACCCCACACAGGTCGCGTTACCCTCGTAAATACACCCGTTGAGGGTGAGATAAAAGGCAAGGACTGTCATTTAGCGTTGAGGGTGTGTTGTTTTCTCATCTGCTTTGGCGCGCAACACAGAAACAGTCCAGACAGTGGACTAAACACTTTTGTATGCAATACACAAACTCAAAAGCACCATTAAGTAGGAAAAGATCATTGTTAAAGTAGAATTATTACTACTACTTTTGATACTGTAATTATTTTGTCACTAATATTATTATTATATATATTTTTTAATCATTATCATTGTTGTTGTTGTAGTTGTCATCATCATTATTATCATTCATGATAATAATGTTACACATGTATAATCATTATTTTCAATTTCAGATGGGTCTCACTCAGCATTGAAGGCAGAGTTCTCCCTCCCTAGTTCTTGCTACGCTACGATGGCCCTCAGAGAGGTGATGAAGGTTGATACCTCAGCCGTACACCAATCAACACTCAACCAATGAATGAAGTCCACTATCCCATTACATATGGGAACCACGCACTCCAAACCACGCTCTCCGACCATGTATTAAGAAATCATGTACATTTTTAGCAGCAAAATGGAGATTGGCATGATATTATTTGTTAAATATAGTCACACATTGTTCACCTTGTATCAAAAGATAAACGTGCAGGATCATTTGATATTCCATCTATGATTTTGGTGTAGCGGTCCCTTCCACCCAAACGTGCGGACCATTTGATATTCCATTTACGATTTTGGTGTAGTGGGGGCCCTTCCACCCAAACGTCTCCCTGCAAAATAATCTCAGAGCTCAACAACTGTGAAAGGTTTTACCTCTGTGTACTATTCAGTGATGTTGTTTGAATTTACATCACAGGCTGCCTATATGAATTATCTTTTGCCTCATTTGTGTGATATTCCACTTGAGGAAAGAAAAAGTTTGACATCATATTAGCATTGCTAGTATCTTGCTATTAATCATCTGAAAGCAAAGGAATCTGAAAAAAAGTATGTGAAGGCTCACCGAAACTTTACATGACCTTTAACCTTATGAGAATGAGGGAATTCAGTCTTCAACAGATGATTGGAATGCAATGCTTAAGAGGCATGAAAACTTGAAAAAATAATATACCAATTCAGGACATTTATCTTTCCATCTTGTTGGTGGACTATGGCTGCTTGGCGAACGTTTCTCAAAAAGATTGAGCATTCCACTTGTTTAGTAAGACCCCAATTTCACTCACTTTGTTGGATTGGTCTACGGTAGACCGATCATCTAGATCCCTCCAGAGGTACGGTTTGCTTGTCTTCACACTCATTGCAATTCTTACCCTAATGAGACCTGTGATGCCATAACAACAGGAACAGTTCCTGTTACTATGACAGCAAACAACATTTTTGTGCAGAATCTAACAACTGTATGTACTGCCAGCCTGATTGCCAAGTCCTGGTTTGGTTTGGTTTCCTTTCACAAAATTACTTTTTATTTTCCTTGTTTAATGTTCCCTTTCCATCTTTCATTTGTGATAGTATCTGCCGTATACCCTCACAGTGATTAAATTAGGAATACTCCTAAGGGAATAAAGATGGTCCACACATTGTGTACTTGAATGAATTCAATGACCGGGTTAGTAATGATATCTGTCAAGCTCTTAGAGGTAATATACAAATCCAGATTTATTGTTTTATTATTATATTGATATAGCTTTTATCTTGTACCTAAAATGTTTTGATAGTGAGCTTGTCTTTCTTCTTAGAGTTCAGCTTGATATATGGATTGTTTAAGCTGATACCATGACCTGTATTTTCATAACAGGTAAACAATAAAAAGAGGAACCAGTAACCAGATAAGTTAATTTGCATTAGAACTTAGTTGAACTCGGCTACTCCTTGTCATTCACATCAGGCCTGATAATTCCCTGATTATTTTTTTAATTTTTAAAATTTTTAAATTTTTAAAATGTTTAAATCATGATTTTTTTCTTCAAAAGTGAATGATCCGTGAGATCTGAAATTAGGTGGGTGAGGTGCAGTTTTTTCATGACTTGCTTAAACGCCCCAGCACCTCGCTTTGCTTGGATTTCGCAAACTTTTTAACTCTGACTATCGCCCCTGAGTCACATCCACATTTTATTAAATGTTGCATCGTCCTGTATCCTATGGGAATGGGCCTCATTGAAGATACACATACTGGTATGTAATTTTAGTGACACAGGAAGGATTATAATTTTTCTTTCACCTGACTCTAAATTCAGTGATTGTAAATCTTAAATTTGTTTGCTGATTTCTATGAAGGGAGCCCATAGACTTTATTTTCCGATATCATGTTCCATGTCCTTGCCTATGACAAAAGGAAATGACTCCAGTCTTCTCACTCCCATATTATGAATTTAAAAAAAGAAAAGCCAGCTATTAATGATGGGGGGCATGCATGTGACGTTTTAGATGAAAGATCCTCTTTTCTCTTTTTTACTACTGGAAAAAAAGAAGTGTTATGTCAAAAATACTCAATAAACGATCATGTTTTATATATACAAGTTGCCTCATTGATTGTTATTTATTGTCTTACTGCTTGGATGTCCATGTGGTTGGTTGATTTGGTGATGAATTAATTAATACAGTGGAACCTCGTTATAACAAACTCCATGGTACTGGGGTAATTACAGTGCAACTTCAAAATCTTGTTATATTAGCGCTAAAATAAATACCAAAATATGGGACCAGAAAATTACCTTCTATAAATAACCCTTGTCACAACAGTGTCCTTTAACACTTGGTTCTCATGTATTACTTAATTAAGTGGATGTGTAATTGATTGATATTCTATCAGTTTACTACTTAGATATTTAATTGATTGCCTGGTCAATTTGATGATTGATTGATTAATATATTATTTCAATTATTGAACATCTGATTGATTGTTTGATTGATTGCTTGATTGATTGATTCATATTGTATTTTTGTCTCGCCTGCGTAGCAAAAAGCGAGACATAGGCGCCGCTTTTCCGGTGACGGCGCGGTGGCGACGGCGGCGGCGGCGGCGTCAACAACAAAAACTTAACCTAAGGTTAAGTTTTAGAATTTTTAATATAATTTTTAAAGTATAAGTTCTTAGTAAATGAAACTTGGACTATAGGGTAATCAAGTATCCCCAATCATGTGAGTAGAATTTCAGGTCAAAAGTTAAGGTCAAAGGTCATTTAAGGTCAACAAACTTAGACTTTGTTGTGGCATCAACATCAAGATATTCAAAATGCTTCTTCTTCGTTATTTTTCAACCGATTTTGATTCTGATTGTTTCATATGATAGGGCTAGGAGACAGAATCGTGAAATTCATTTTCTATGCTAATTTATGCAAATTTATTCAAAATCACAAAAATGCTTCTTCTCCTTCATTTCTCGTTCACTTATCGTATTAAATTGATTGCTTTGTTGATTGGTGGACTGTTTGATGGAAAACTACCCTCTGGAGAAAACAACCACCATGTGATTACGCCCATTTCTGAATACCATGGCTACTTTTAGTTATTTATCTGGGTTGTTATCCGAGGGAGGTCATTAATGAAGGGTAGCTCTTTGGGGTAGATGTCAGGATAGTTTTTCCTGGGGAAGCTGTACTAGAGTAGTCATCCAAGGGAACAGTTGTCCTAGGGTAGTCTTCCGAGAGGACACTTGCCCTAAGGTAGTCATCTAACAGTTGTCATAGGGTAGTCATCTAAGGGGAGAGTTGTCCTAGGGTAGTCATCTTGGGGGATAGTGTCCTAGGGAAGGCATCAGAGGGGACAGTTGTCCTTGTTAGTCTTACAAGGGGACAGTTGTTCTAGGTAGTCATCCGAGGGCACAGTTGTCCTAGGGTAGTCATCTAAGGGGAGAGTTGTCCTAGGGTAGTCATCTTGGGGGATAGTGTCCTAGGGAAGGCATCAGAGGGAACAGTTGTCCTAGTTGGTCTTACAAGGGACAGTTGTTCTAGGTATTCATCCGAGGGGACAGTTGTCCTAGGGTAGTCATTAGAGGGGACACTTGCTCTAGCCTAGAGTAGTCAGAGGATGGGGCAGTTGTCCTAGGGTACAGTCATAGGGGAGAGTTGTCCTATGGTAGTCAACTTAGGGGATCTGTTGTCCTAGTGTAGTCATCTTAGGGGAGAGTTGTCCTAGGGTAGTCATATAAGGGGGCAGAGTTGTCCCAGGTTAGTCATCTAAGGAGCAGTGGTCCTAGGGTAGTCATCTTAGGGAAGAGTTGTCCTAGGGTAGTCATCTGAGGGGGATAGTGTCCTAGGGAAGGCATCAGAGAAGACAGTTGTCCTAGGTAGTCATTCGAGGGGACACTTGCCCTAGCCTAGGGTAGTCATCTGAGGGGGTAGTTGTCCTACGGTAGTCATCTTAGGGGAGAGTTGTCCTAGTGTAGTCATCTTAGGGAAGAGTTGTCCTAGGGTAGTCATATAAGGGGGCAGAGTTGTCCCAGGTTAGTCATCTGAGGAGCAGTGGTCCTAGGGTGGTCATCTTAGGGAAGAGTTGTCCTAGGGTAGTCATTCGAGGGTACAATATTGTCCTAAAGTATTCATCAGAGGGGACAGTTGTCCTAGGGTAGTTATCTCAGGGGAGAGTTGTCCTAGGGTAGTTATCTAAGGGGAGAGTTGTCCTATATAGGGTAGTCATAGGGGATAGTGTCCTAGGGAAGGCATCAGAGAAGACAGTTGTCCTAGGTAGTCATCCGAGGGGACAGTTTTCCTAGGTAGTCATCCGAGGGGACAGTTTTCCTAGGTAGTCATCCGAGGCGACAGTTGTGCTAGGGTATTCTTCAAAGGGCATAGTAGTCGTTTGGTGGTCTTTCGAGGGGAAAGTTGTCTAGGGTAGTCATCCAAGGGAATAGTTGTTCAGTTGTCCTGGGAATGGTGTGCCAGAGCAGGGAGGTAATAGGGAAGGAGTGGAATCAAGCCGCTCTCCTTTGACCCCATGCTCTAAGCCGCCGAAAGTTATGCGCTAATCTGCAACTAGTAACCAGGTGGTGAGATAAAAGAGCGCATGGGATATCAGGATTTTCCTACATCAGAAAATGGTATCTCAGCAAATGTTCGCTGTCCCTTTCAATGACTTCTCTTCAATTGTGGAATGTGTAATGAGTTGAACAAGCGAACACAAACTTATGCAATTTCTTACTTCTTTTCCAAATGCAAAAATACAAAAATACAAAAAGCAAACCTAAAGTTTTTATCGAAGATTGTAAATTGTTCGCACTAATTTTGTTTTGGGCCGGGGGGCATATGCCCCCTGTGCCCCCCCCCCCCCCTGGATCCGTCCCTGAATAAGGTATAAAAATATGCTCATCTGACGTTAATATATTGCCCAAAACCCCTGAGCTTCTGGGAGCTCCACCCCTTGACCCCTTGACCCCACCAGGGGCCTTATGGGCGGCTCCTGCATGCTTATCTGACTGTTATTAAATGCCTAAAATCCCTGAGCTTCTGGGGGCTCCGCCCCGTGGACCCCACGCCAATTAGTGCCCTGCCAGTGTCACAAATAAGGTATCATTATGCTCATCTGACCGTATTTAAATGCCTAAACCCCTGAGCTTCCGGGGCTCTGCCCCCTGAACCCAATCAATGGCCCTAAGGCGGGCCCCTGGATGCTCATCTGACCGTGGACCCTAAGTGACCTGCCAGTGTCACAAATAAGGTGTTAAAATGTGCTCATCTGACCGTAATGAAATGCCTATATCCCCTGTGCCTCTGGGGGCTCCACCCCTTGACCCCCGCAGTGGCTTCGCCCCGAGACCCCACGCCAATTTACGCAAAGCTCTACCTGATCGTAAATACCTACCCCCCCCCCCTCCTACTTAATAGAGAAACGTTCAGCGGGGCCTGCATGTAAGAGTGGGGTGGTGCAGATTTTGTTTCTACCCCCCCCCCCCCCGTCCCCAAACGTTTTTGCTCATTTCGCCACTGCCGGTGTCACCATTACGTACCGATATTTGCCTTGCATAATTTCAAATTTGGCCCCCCCCCCCCCCCCCCCCCCAAGAAATCCTGGATCCGCGCCTGCCCAATACAATCCCCATATAAAGTTTATAATTTACACAGAAATTTTGCCGGTAATTTAGTAAATGTGAAACTGGTGCCTGGCCTCCGAGATTCCCCTCAGTGGAAGAGCGGCTCGGAGCATGGAACTCCAAAGCCAAGTGGAACGTTACGCATCCCATTGTTACGCTTTAGAACTCACGCGTGCATTATTTTGATTAAATTACAAGAGTTTCCACTCTTCCTCTATCACCTCCCTGGCCAGAGGTACTTGTCCTACGAATGATCTTCATGCATGTAATTATATTCAAATAAATAGCCCTCTTTTGCACATCCAGAATGCTCCGCCTAGTATGAGGAATGTATTTGTCGGCTTTCCTCAACAAGTTGGCAAAGTTAATATGTATCATTTTAATCAAAGAATCCCCCATACCAGACAGTTATTTCTATCACGGGCACGTTTTAGGTAAACATTTTAGTCCTTTATTCTGACGGAGGTCCAGATGCCATCCATCTATGGGCGTTTTTACGACTGGCTTTGGATGAGGAACGAATTTCCTGGCAACATATTGTGGGGAAAATATTCAAGAGAGTGCTTACAATGAACATCGCCTTTGAGAATCGCAATTAGAATGCAAATTATGCTGTGCGTTTGATAACATGTTTACATATCATTATCTTTTATTCATGAAGTTCATTGAAAATTCGGATACCTAGAATGTAAAGTTTGACACCACCTGTTGTTATAGGCGAGATATCTGCTTAGAATCAGAAACGGAAAAAAAGAAAGAAAGCACAGCACACAGCCCAACCAAAGAACAGAGAAAGTTGGAGATTCTCGACATTCATTCACTCTTTAGCCTGGTAGCCGTCGGAAAGGGTCGCATTTAAGGCGTGAGAACTGAGAAGGTGGAATACATCTGATAGACGCATATAGAACGGACATTGCAGCCTGTACTTTGTGAAGAACTCGATTCAAAGGTGAGTGGATTTTTATATATAGTATAGGCCTTTATGATGAAGATTTCTGGTAGGTGTTATAGTGTTGGCCTGTAAATTGGACATAGTACCTTTAAAACTGATTTTCTCATCTACTTAAAGTGCGGGTTCATAGAAAATCATAAATATGGCAAATAGCGTATTACAAGAAACTGGTAAGCTAACAGATGGCCATCATGCAATTTTTAGGTTAACTACATATTCGGTGATTTATAAAATTACAAATAAAACAACCTCCATATCATCTGGGATATGTGAGAGATTCGCCGGAAAAATATCGATGTTTTAATGCCGTCACAATATGAACCAACCCTGCCCAAGCAGACGACATCCCATAAAGAATGAACATAATTGCAATGCTTTATTCCTCAAATTATAATGAGTTTAGTGTATATAAATGTGATGGAATTTTACACCATTCACAAAGAGATATGACCCCATTCTAATAACTAAATTATGTTGTTTGTAAATACACAGGATAGGGGTTAATGAACCATCAAAGAAACCACACCTTCAAAGTAAAAAACCTCCGGAATGATAGCATAGACGTTCCCTCTTGAAACGCCGAACATGCCGCGTCGTATGCAGCTGAAAATACAATGGCGTCTTATTTTGTTTACAAGCGACGGATTCCCTTTTTTTTTGTCCTTGCATTTTTCATCAAAATAATACAGTGCACGGGGTTTAGAGTGAGGCAATATATTAAACATTTCGCCTGAGGGTATTGAAGTAAGAGAAATAACAGAAGAAAAGATGACAAAACAGGCACTGAAATTGTGTGAGATGTCATGGGACATCGTCTGCTTGTGTACATCATGTTCAACATGTGACGTCATATCTCAGCAGCGACCGGGGAGCTTCAGTTTCAGGCGCTATGTCGGGGCTGTATCTAAGCGTTTTTTAATTGTTAATAATCATTACTTTGAATGTTTCCAAGCATTGGCTTTTGATAACCTTGGCCAATCAAAGTGTCACCTTTGCAATAATGACATTAAAGTTAGTTTTTTAAATCAATGAACCTTCTCTTTAAGATTTCCTTGAAGAAAATGAATCGATTTCAGGGTTCGAAGAAACTTTAAAGGGGTTATTCATTTGGGACATGTGTTCGATTTGTACTTCATTTATGTACAACAATCTTTTTCATTTTAAACGGTTTAACACGATAATCTCCACAGCAAACTGCATCTTATTAATTTTCCTTACGATACGCTAAGTATTGAGATTATTAATCTCGGGGTACACTAAATTAGCAGTTCTTTAATTCGTTTGTTTGTTTGTTTTTTTTTTAACTTAGAGTCCGTAAAATTGAATAAAACTTCAGTTGAAACAAATCTTTATATATAATGCGCTTTCTTTTGCAGTTTGAAAATATTCACGCAACGATGTCGGGCGCGTCTGTCTTCCACATCTTGTTCGGGTCATGTATCGCTCTCCTGTTCGTATTAAACAAACCAGTGTCGGGTGACTTCAAGTATGAGAGAACTATCGCGTTCACCGTGGAGAGGACGGCCGATATGAGCGACTCGACGACCTCGAGGGACATCGGGGCGTTTAACAAGAACTCGCAGAAGATCTATCTCAACATCGGTGAAGCGCTGGATGTCGTCACAGGACGATTCAAAGGTAAGGAGAGAGAGGGGAGGGGCAGAGATCGTAACTTGCATACGAGGGCCTATGTGTATATGGCTGGGAGAAAGGGGTGGTAAGGGTCCGCAACCCCCGAGAATAATATTTTGCTATTGTATTGTTTTGATAAAAGTGATAAATATTTCTCGATATGCTTCGCTCATTCGCAAACTTTGAAATGAATATGATATTTGAGTAAGAGACCTCGGCCCCTTGGCGAAATAAGCCAATTTCGTAAAGTAACCAAATTTAATGCATGCGGTCTTTGTGAAGTGCCTCTATACGAATTCTTTCGTTGACTTGCGACAAGTAATTGTATCTCAATATAAATCAGAATGCGAATTGCATACACTATTTTGTTGCTAGGCAGGACAAAACTTTATAGCCTGCCCCACCTAACAAACACGTAATATATGCAATTCGCATTCTGACTATTGAAATACATTTATTCGTAAGGGGCACTTCGAATCATTCGAACCCGTGCAGGCACTTCACAAAGACGTACGCATTAAATTGAATTGAATTTGATTCATTTCCACATTTGCATTAGTAATACAAAAATAATTATATACAAAAGTAAAAATACAACAAGTAAACAAACATCAAAATAATACATGCAAATCAAGAAGATAAAAGGACAAATTTATACGACTTGAAAGACATAAAATGTAAATGTGGCGCGATCAAAAAAAGTTTGTAAAAACTTGTGTCCATGATCCCGTACTGTCTAGAAGCATTTATTCTAGTCTAAAGACAACATAAAGCACATCAAGCAATAACACAATATATCGTTATTAATAAAAGACAAGATGAATTATTAAATGAATTACTCTTTACATAGTCTTTTATTCTATTCTTATATGCACTTAAAAATTAAAATATTTATTAAATTTTGGTAATTCATTCCATAATATGGGACCTCTACACCGAATAATGCAACGTGAGAAGGAAGTGTTACCATAAGCAACACGGTAATCAAATTTAATACGAGTGTTATTATTATGTACGGCAAGATTACGTTGAAATAAGAATCAAATGATTTTGGTAATAATTTCTTATGACAAAAAAACCTGAATATTCCTGCCTTATAAACATGCAGTTCATACATTGGTTAAACTTTTAAACTTTCAAAAATAGTCACACTATAATTATGTAAGCGTGAATAAGAATGTGATATTTCTCTGACGACTCTTTTTTGTAGTTTTAATAATCTATCTAGAAGATAGTATTTCACGATCCCCATATAATGTTACCATAGTTCAAATGGGGTAAAATCATTGTATTGTACAACACCAATAAAACATATTTATAGGTACAGTATCATTAAATCTGTTTGTAGCTCCGATGCATCTGGATATTACCATGTCATATCCTCGCCATCAAAAATTCCCAAAATTTTTAAGTTTTGACTCTTTGAACTGGTGCATTGTTATGATTATCATCAATGCTTGTATTTCCAAATACCATAAAAATTAGTTTCTGAAGCATTTAGTACTAATGTATTTGCTAAAAACCATTAGTTTACTGTCTTTTATCTAATTCTGAGTTCATAGTCTGTTCCAAATAATTACGATTGTTGTGTTTAAAGAATATATCCGTATCGTCTGCAAATAAAATAAAATTTGGTTACATATAAAGAAAATGGTCTTTTGTGCCCATATGCACCAATGATTAGAGGACATGTGATCTGATATTTGCCCCCTTTTTCCTTAATCGAATGACTTTGTTTGAGAGATGGTCATAAATTTAAAAGCGAAGTTTTCAAAGATATTGCTAGCCCCATTATTCGTACCTGAATGATTAATGTCCTCACGATATACACCTCAAATCCCACAAAATTCGTAATGAGTCGTCACTACTCAGCCCCCCCCCCCCCTTCTAGTGACGCCCTTGATGAAATAATTAGCGACTGCACCGTTTCTTTCCATGCAGTCCCACTGGAAGGCGTTTACTACTTCTACTACAGCTTTTCGAGTGAGACAATGGATGAGGAGACCCGAGTCGAACTCTTCAAACTCGAAGCTGGAAAGGATCTTAAATCCGCGACTTTGCAGGTCTTCCAGAGCATCACCCCTGCCCTCGTTAGCCCGCTCGACTCCGCCAGCGCCTCGGTCATGGTAGAACTGAAACGCGACGACGAGGTTTTTCTGCGGTTGGCACCGGGTTTGCTGGACGCGGATGCGGATCGACCGCTGCTTTTCACCGGATATTTGGTGTACAGAGAAGGCCAACAAGCTCTTGGATACTGATTTGTTTTTCTTCAGATAATGGACTAGGCTTAGAAATGTGTTCTAAAACACTATAATGGCCCGAAACTATGACATGTACTTTTTTTTAATGAAATTAAGAAGATAAATACATCCCAATCAGTTTTCCCCCTTCTCACGATCTTTGACATTATAAATGACCGGTAATGGTATTAAAAAACAAGGTGACATTTTCAACCTTTCATGTTCATTATAAGATGAGTTGGATTCGGTCTGTATAAAGACGTTTTAGTTCATGTCAAATACTTAAATAGACAATAATACACAAATTTTACCTACAAAAACTTATCAGCAGAATCGCTTTAAAACGGTTCTACCTCGTGGACATCCATCCCCCGGATAACCACCCCAGTCAACTACCCCCTATAATAGGGCAACCATCCTCTAGGACGACTACTCGCCGGACAACTACCCCTATAGGACAACTATACCCCCGGACAACTATCCTAGGGGGTAGTTGTCCTAGGGGGGTAGGTGTCCGGATACGCTTTAAAAGTTATGTTGTATTCAAATAACGGTTAGTGTTTTAAACATTGACTAGCAGCGTTATTAGCAAAACCAGTCCATAGAATGTTTTCATGACTTTCAAGTTGATTGCATTTTTACTTTATTTTTCGTAAACGTTTGGTTTATTGATCACACAGTATAAGAGGATTCCAAAATTAAAATCAATATCACAACTTTGAAAGGATTGTTTATCGTTTGTTTCTAAATCTAACCGACTGTTGAGATGTTGTGTGTAAAGTTACATGTACGTCAATTTTATCCTTCACAATTACACCCAACCCCAAATTTGTCATTTTGCGGCAAATTTTAATATTTGAAGACCTTTATCGATGTTTGTTGGAAAATGACCGGCTAATTTGTCTGCACGTTCGGTCAGAACCCCCTTGAATCAAAAATGATCTGACGATGTCTCTCCTTTCAGCGCCCCCCGTTTCTATCAACGAAAAAAGATTGCTCCTCCCCATAGTTTTTCATTATCTAGGTACGGCAGGGGCGTACGCAGGGGGGGGGGGTTTGGGGGTTCAACCCCCCCCCCTTTGGTATTTCTATGTATGTAAAAAAAAAAAAAAACCCAAAAACCTAATACTCCCCCCCCCCCCCCCCCCCCCCCCTTGGTTTTTTTTTTTTTTTTTTTTTTTTTATTAAAAAAACAAAAAAACAGAAAAACAAAAAATTATACCCACGGCTAACCTAAATAAGGTGACCTTACCCCCCCCCCCCCCCCCTCAAAAGAAAAATGTCAAATTTTGAAATTTCGAGACCAAAAAAAAGAAAAAGTGTCCGTTTGTATAAAAGAGCTGCGATTTATTACAAATAATTTGGAATTTATATCAATCGAAACTCTGTACTAAAGAGATAGGCGAATCATTTGCAAACTCTTTGTAATCAGTTTCAGCTCTAGTATAAAACGGGCCCTGTATGGGGATGTTGTTAACGATCATGGCATTTATGGAAGATTCTAAGTATGTATAATATATATATCTCTTTTCCATCTCTCATTTCTATCGCCTCTCTCTCTCTCTCCCCCCCCCCCCCCCCCCCCCCCGTCTCTCTCTATCTCTCTCCCCCTCTCTCTCTCTCTCTCTCTCTTTCTCGCTTTCTCTCTCTCTCTCTCTCATTGACTTTGGTAAAACCAAATACCAATAATCAAAGGTCATAACAACACATATTTTCAAAAAACTTCAAAAACCTATGAGGGGGTAGTCACTTCCGTCAACGTCACCCCTCTCGTCCATTATGCTCCCTCGCACTACCGTGCTGAAGGGGGAGGGGGTTGGGGACAGTTGCTCCAAAAAATATAATTCAAAGGTGGTTTATTTCTAATTCGATACCACTAATTTACAAATGTTGCTGAAATGGCATGATTTTTCCGGAAGCTTCAAGGGCCCTAAAGCGGGGCCCCTGATTGCTCATCTGACCATGCCTAAAACCCCTGAGATTGTGGGGGCTCCGCTCCTAGACCCCACTCCAATTGGTGACCTGCATGCCAGTGTCACAAATAAGATATCAAAATATGCTTATCTGACCGTAATCAAAGGCCTCAAACCCCTGAGCTTCCAGAGGCCCCTGGACCCGACGCCAATTACGCTCCACTTGCTTCCCTCGCTTTGCTCTACCTGATCGTAAATACTTTAGCCCCCCCCCCCCCCCCACCACCACCACTTTGAAAAACGATCCGCGGGGCCTGCATGTAACATGTAAGGGTGGTGGTGATGCAGATTTTTTTTCTGCCCCCCTCAGTACGCCACTGCTCCCTCGCCCATCGCATTTCGTCCCCCCCCCCCTGCCCGGTCATGAAAAGAAATCGCCGCCCCTGCATCGTAGCCATCGTATAATGAGCCATTTCTTGAGTCTGAGTTAACAGTTAACAAGGTCACCTTTTCTATTCTAAAGCAAAGAATCACTGTGAATAATAAGTCAGCAATTGTCTTTTTGACTGACTAACAATATCAGGTAATATGATTCAAGGTAACGCTGGATATCACTTTTTGATAGGAATCTATCGAATGTGGGTATATATTTTTTTAATGCACTGTATAAACACCCCGATGATTTTTACTCTATGGAACAATTTCTTACACTCGATATATAATATATCGGCAACTTTTATGACAGGACGATCTTTTACAGGAAATTTTTAGTCAAGTTATTTATTTTGGTAAATCTGTCGAAGGTTGGTGCTAGGTGAACTTGATTTCAAAGTCGGTATAGGCATCAAATTATTATTTTCAGGTCAGCAACCCTTACTTTACAAATGTGTGCTGTATATTATCCAATCAGAGGAGCAATGAAACGCATGTTAAAATAACATTTCCAATTTTATGAAGCTGTTCTTTGCCATGTTTACCATTACACCTCGGTAGGCCGATGCCGCCTTTCCCCCAAATGACACTAGTGCTCCCTCAATGGTTGGACCCATGCTGCCCCAAAGCCCCCCAATTAAAGGTAATACAAAGTTTTTGGAAATTTTGAAATTGGGTGAATAGTGACTCTTTACAATTTTGATATATTTGGATGCCCCTGTGGATGTATCATAAGCACTAGGAAATTTAAGCCCCTACAGCTATTTTGCTTTCGAGAAAAAGTGAATATAAAATTTTACCGGTGCTCCTGGTAAATTTTGATAAATTTCAAATAGCACATACGGCCGTACAATGGTAGCTGCGACCATGAAAATCTCAGAATATGTAGTTGTGATATATAAATTTCCGAACGGTAATAGCTAATCGGTCGATTTTAGTCAAGAAACGTTGTTTTATAGTCATGACCCCATAACAAAACTTTGTATTACCCTTAACAACTATCGAGTAATTATAACCACCCACAATCACTTGGGAGTTCCATAAAAGCATTAACAGGGTTTTATTACAACGCACTTTATAACCGTCGCATACAATTCGTACAACTTTGATGGCGGTACGTGACTTTCTTTTAGGGGTAGTCGTTGTCAATTCTCTGTGAAATTGATTTCAAAGTCTGAGTGTAGTGATGAGAGTCAGAAAGGACTTAGATCATGTACTTTAAACACAGAGTTAATGCCCTCATGGTTCTTAACAGACCGATTTCTTTTCATTTATTGGTCTTCTTTAAAGCAGATTAGTCTATTTAGATCAATAGCTCCTGCTTTATACGAGAAAGTTCGGTACGTTCGTTTGATGTCAGAGAAGCAATAAACGCTCGTACAAACACGACAAATAGGTTTGCCGAGTTATGGAAGCTATTCAAACCAATGGCGTAGTTCTAGGTATACCAACCCCATCCCTATCGAATGGCGAGAAACAAAAGAGAAAAATAATTATCAAGCGGGTAAAGGCGACGTAAATATAGGAGATTATGCACCCCTACCTATAACAGTCTTGTCCATTATTATTAGCATTTCATTCACCTGTTAACACCGGTGCCGATCATTGAAATGGCTTTCGTGCCCCCCCCCCCCCCCCCAACCTCATTGCCTGGACTCACACGACGCCACTGATTAAAACAAAAAAAGTATGAACATAATCTGCAATCACTTGGAGCTCCTCAAAAAGCATCACGAATCCAACTACAATAGTCCATCCCTATCGGAAAAGGACACGCAATGTCTATAAATCGCCGTTTGTCATCATCGCCATCGCCATCGGTTGTCGAACACGGCGGTGATAAAGACGGTGTCAGACTGATTCGTCAAATGACTTTAATCGACTGTATTTCCATAGTGATTGGTATAATCATAGGCGGAGGGATCTTCATATCTCCAAAAGGTAAATATTGTATCGGCCTATCCAATATTTAGAATGGGAAAGTTTTTAAACACAAATTTTAAAATATGTTGCTCTAATGTCCGCTGCACACAAGGCGTTTTTATTTCTAACGTAGGACAGCATGAACCTCTTTGGCGATCTTTGAAGCGCCATTTGACTGCAAATTGAACTGTGCAAAATTGGGTTTGCTTCCAGTTACTGAGTTAGGTAACGAAAGACACATTGTGTACAGTTTAATGGGCATCATACGATATATTTTCGATAAAATCTATTTACAATAATTCTGTTTTATTTTATTTTCAAAGAAGAACAGAATAACAAGAGAGGTATGACCAGAAAACCGTGGATGCTTAAGATGCTGCACTCCTCGGTTATGAAGTATGATTTTCGATAAATCTATTTACGTTAATAAGACGCTTGAGAGCTGAATTATTACAGTCGAGTAAGGGTTTCTGTTAAGTAATTAAATAGTAAATATGTTTATTTAGACTATCGCCAATGAATGCATTCACTATCTTATTCAATACCTTTATCCAGTAGCGGATCCAGGGGGGGCGGGGAGCCCGCCCCCCCCCCTGGCAAAAAAAAAGAAGGGAAAAAAAAGGGGGGGGAAAGAAGGAAAACAAAAATAAATAAAAGGAAATAAAAGGGGGAAAATATCAAAGGTATCAAATATGCTCATCTGACCGTAATTAAATGCCTCAGACTCCTTGAATTCCGGTGGCTCTTCCCCCTGGACCCCACCTAGGACCCTAAGGCGGACGACTGGATGCTAATCTGACGGTAATTTAATGCTTAAAACCCCTGAGTTTCTGGGGTCTCGGCCCCCTGGACCTCGCGCCAACTAGTGTCCTGCCAGTGTTACAAATAAGATATCAAAATATGTTCATCTGGCCGTAATTTGATGCCTAAAACCCATTGGCTTCTGGGGGCTCCGCCCCCTGGACCCCACGCCAATTAGTTACTTGCCAGTATCACAAATAAGGTATAAATATGCTCATCTGACGTAATTAATTGCCTAAAGCTCTGAGCTTCCGGAGCTCTGCCCCCCCCCCCCCAATAAGTTACCTGCCAGTATCACAAATAAGGTATATTTAGAGTCATCTGACGTAATTAATTGCCTAACACCCCTAAGCCTCCGGGGGTCCGCCTCCTGGACCCCACGCCAATTCGTGACCTGTCAGTGTCACAAATAAGGTATAAAAATATGCTCATCTGACCGTACGTACCTTATTGCCGAAAACCCCTGCGCTTCCGGGGGCTCCGCCCCCTGAATACCACGCCAATTCGTGACCTGCCAGTGTCACAAAATAAGATTATTCTCATCTGACGATAAATTGATGTATAAACCTGAGCTTCTGAGGGCTCCGCCCCTGGACCCAACACCAATTTGTGTCCTGCCAGTGTAACAAATAAGGTATAAAAATATGCTCATCTGACCGTAATTTATTGCCTCAAACCCCTGAGCTTCCGGAGGCTCCACCCCCTGGAACCCACGCCAATATGTGACTTGCTAGTGTCACAAATAAGGTATAAAATTATGCTCATCTGACGATAAATATTAATGTATAAACATCCAAGCTTCTGAGGGCTCCGCTCCCTGGACCCAACACCAATTTGTGTCCTGCAGTGTCACAAATAAGGTATAAAAAATATGCACATCTGACGGTTATTTATTGCTTAAAACCCCTGAGCTTCCGGGAGCTCCGCCCTCTGGACCCAACACCGATTCGTGACCTGACAGTGTCACAAATAAGGTATAAAATATGCTCATCTGACCATTATTTATTGCCCAAAACCCCTGACCTGCCGGGGCTACGCCCCCTTGACCCCACGCCAATTGACATGCCAGTGTCACACAAAATGTATACAAATTATGCTCATCCGACGATAATTTGATGTATTAAACCCCTGAGCTTCTGAGGGCTCCGCCCTGGGAAAAAAACGTATAAAAACACGTCAATTTTACCTTTTTTGATATACCCACACACCCCCCCCCCCCCCTGGCGTTCAAATGGGGGGTTAGCTATTTTTCAAATTTTCGAGGGCCAAACAAAAAATTAGTGCTTACTACCCCCCCCCCCCCCTAAATTTCAAATTGATTTCAAATTTGGGCCCCCACCCCTAAAAAAATCCTGGATCCGCGCCTGCCTTTATCATGTTATGATAATTATTCTCTCTGTCTTCCTTCAATTGTCCTTACTTCTCCGTTCTTTACTCCGCATCAGCTCTCTTTCCCTTTTCTCCCAACTTTACATTCCCTTTTCCTCTATCCACTTATGTATTTCGATTATTACTGTTTCCTGATTTGTTTTTAAAACTCATAATGGGACAGTTGAGTTCTAAGTCCGAAAATGCCTTTAAAGTACATGGTTAAGGCTCTTATTCTAACTTATGACATTTCTAGCGCCCTTGCTATGAAGGTAATTTTAGACCCCAAAATATGTGAAATTTAGACAATACGATCATACCAATCCAGCTCCACTTTAAAAAAATACGGTGACCATTGATTAATTAACTAATGAATAATAACATTACACGGGCCGGCTGATGATTGTGCGTATATAACCAACAATAAAAAGCCAACAAAACCTCAATATTGGCATTGACAGGCCCGAATTCACAAAGCAAGGTTTGAGCTCAGACCAAGGTTTGAGCTCAAACCTCCTTTTGTTCTTTACAAACCAGGTTTGTAAAAAACGCGTAAAACGCGTCATATGACGTACGAAAACCTTTGTGAATTCGGGCCATAAGGTCTTATCTCGTTTTTTCAACTGTTGGTTCAAAATTATCGAATATTATTTTGTGGGGCCCCGCAAATATCAGAAATGGTTATATTTATGGATATTTCAGCCGTCTCTGAACCGATTTTTGATCAAACAAAGATAATTTTTGTCATTTGAATTATTGTATGCTCTTTCAAATTTGACACTCAGTTTTTCATCTTACACAAAAATTGTTTAGCGCCCTCTATACCAAAACTCAACTATCCCTTTAAGCCATCACGCCGTGAGGCTCCTGCCTTTCCAAAATTATTACACTGGTCATAGCCGAGCGACCAAATAATTATGTACCAGTCATTATCTGAATAAAGATTGACAAATGTGGATTAATGTCTTGCAAAAGGACGTTGGTCCCGGGCTTGGTTTCGAACCCTCAACCATTTGAATAAAAGACAAGTGAATAATTAAACCACTTTAGAAATTTAAAAATTATCTAATTTGTTATGTCTTGAATTGTTCTGTCTTTGTTTGTCAACAGGAATGGACCCTGCATACATTTAATTTTATCACCCGTAACTGAAACCAACACACAATTAATATCACGGTATTAGTCTCTTTTTATTCCACCAAGCTAAATGTTTGCACCTTGCACAAATGCACTTCACAAAACGAAATATTTCACTAAATTTGTTTTGTTATTTTCGCTCAAAATTAATTCAGCCATGCTCACTCTTAATCACTTCAATTATATCTCATTTAACATCGAATACAATGCAGTTGCATGGGTTGTTCTTTTATTTCGTTAACTCAGCAGAGGCCACGGTCATGTTCAAGCATTTTCGCTTACGACATGTGGTCTCCTGCTTTTTCCTTTTGTATGAAACTTTTATTTTAACTAGAAACAAATTTTGTCAAACTTACATGTTATTCATTATATTCATTTGTATGTTTCTTTGTATTGATATGAAAAAGTGAAAATAAAACAAAACAAACAAAACAAACTTCAAAAAGATCTTGTTCTATGATTTTGTTAAACAGGTGTATTAGTCAATACTGGGAGCACTGGATGGGCGTTGGTGGTGTGGGTGTTATGTGGAGTAATGTCCATGTTTGGAGGACTCTGCTATGCTGAGCTGGGTACAACTTTCACCGTATCAGGAGGAGACTTCGTGTACATCCTTGATGCTTTCGGACCAGTTCCTGCCTTTGTTCGCATATGGACTAGGATTGTGGCTGTCCGGACTGGCTCGAGGGCGATCAACTCGGTCTCTTTCGCGTATTACGTCCTTTTACCTTTCTACATGGGATGTGAGGTCCCATTTGTAGTTACTCGACTCATAGGAGCAGCACTTCTTGGTAGGTAGGGCCTATTTCCCTCGTTTATGAGGACATCTAATACGAATTATTAATTGTTGATTTAGTTTATAATGATACTTGATTTTTCATTGGTTACCGCTGTTATATTGTTATCACCAGGGGGGCGTTTCATGAAACAATTAGTCGATGGTTTTCACCGACTAATATCATTTTCACCGACAATTATATTGTCACCAACTATTTTTCAGGCCTCTGATTGGTCAAATTCAGTCAGTGCTGACTAAATGTAAGTGATCATTCACCACCTCTTTAAGACAACAAAAAAAATACTACAAAAAGTTTAAACCTACCATTGTTTTTGTGGTGTTTCTTGTCTTCTCCTTGATGCTGGCGACTGAATCTGCGTGCGCGCATAATCAGCATATTAAATGAATATGTATAAAAATGTTGCCGTAACAGTATGCATAAATTTAACAGTTAGCTCCCATTTTTTACAGTGTTAATCGTTATCATCAACTCCCTAAGCGTTCCACTGACACGTAAGATCCAAGTTGCAACATCCTTCTGTAAAGTGTTGGGTCTTATCGCAATCGTCGTTGCCGGTGTTTACCAACTTATAAAAGGTGAGTAATAAACAAACTTGTGTGTACTTTAACAAAATATCTTATCAAATACCAAACACCAGGGGCTAAGAAAAAATTGCCTTGGTCTTTTGCCCCCCCCCCCCCCCAAAAAAAAAAGAGTGTGAACTTGATCAGGCATCGCTAAAATCGCAAACAAATTATTTCCACAATATTCTTCGGGTTCGAAAGAAAAAGTTTGAACCTCTTCCGACGAATTTTAAAATATAACGGCCATTTATTTTCTCTTATGACTGCAAAGTTAGTCCGACCTCCGATTTCAAAATGTTTTAGGAACACTGCTATGCAGTATCAGTTGTCCGAACACTTTAATATCGCAAGACAACTTGTAGAAAATTGAAACAATAATTTTTGAAATTTAAAATTGTTCTTTTTCAATTTTTGATATATTACTTTGTAATGTCCGATTTACTATTCTGTGATCTTATAAATAAATGTCAGTATAAAAATATAGGTTACAAACTTTGTTTATGTACATGTTTCATTTTGTCTGATTTCATTACAAACAGGTAATACATCGAATATAGAAACCGCATTCTCTGAAGGGTCTATAAAATGGAAGACATTACCTCTTGCCTTCTACTCTGGACTCTACGCTTACTCCGGATGGTCAGTAGTTCATTAATACTTTTCTTTTTGGGGCAAGATAATTTGTCAGTATCACTTCAAATGTTCTGCTCTTCAATTTTGTTTTGAAAATTGGTTAGCAGAGTATGGGAGCACTCCTGTACAATCATGTGTTTTCTTTTAAAATGAGCTTCAAAATAAGAGAAACGGAATTTTCACTACTTGTCTTTCCTAATCAATAGTACCCCTTTTTCACATGATTGTGTTTTCCTTCACTAGACCTATGTTTTATGTTTTTTAAATCCCAGTATACTCCCATTTATGATCATGAAATTATCTTCATAAACACTGATAACGCATAATGATCAGGTCCTTCACATTATTGATTATTGTTATGTACAACAAACCTACATCATATTCATGCAAGTATCAATCATTCAAAACACACCTGAGAAAGGAGTATTTATAATGTCAAGGAAAAAAATGATGTTGTTCTAAGCATTTCTTCCTTTTCCTATCACAACAGGGAATTTCTTCCTTCGATAGCTGAAGAAATCATCAACCCAGGAAGGTAAGAAAGAGACGTTTTTAGGAAGGATTTGAGGGGGTATATTATGCAAAATATTAATCGGAAACAATGGGGGTAACCGTTCCCTCCGTCCCCTTCCCCATCCGTCGACGTCAATGAGACAAAAATAGTTTGACGTGAATCGTATGAGAAGCTTGAAACGGTGAAATAAGGACTATAAACTTTAATCCCGGCTATCAACTCGTAGTTGGAAAGAAACCGCTGCAATTTGTATTCGCTACAGATAAAGTACATGAAATTATAAAATATTTATTTAAAGATTTTTTTCCTTCTCACCCAAATATTGCCCCGGCGCGGGACTAATATCCTTTGGTGAGACATTAATCTAAATTTGCCACTCACCACCCAGGGTACAAACGGGTATACCGGTAGGAAGAACAATGCCTGAATGCTGTGAGCACCGAAATCGGTAGCCTAGCCTAGTGATATCTTGAGCACCTTGCATGGTAGTCCAGAATGTGGCCGGTTCTTTAGATTCCCTAAACTTGATCAAAGCCGCCTGGGACCCGTTTAACAAAGCTTTTTTTCAATGACACATGACAAAATTCAGTGACAAAATCTGTCGATAACCAATCAGAAGCAAGAATTTCAGTAGCTTATAACAAAAAGTGTCATTTGTCACTGATGAAAAGTTTTGTGAAACGCCCCCAGGGCCCAGCCTATGACTTAAATATAAGGATCACACACCATCTTCGGCTGGCAGCGAGTAAGTAGGGAGAGGTCGCATTGCGTTGGTGTGAATATGACGGACAAAGAAAGCGGACAAAATATACAGTTCCTCAGGTAGATAAAGGGACATCACTTCACTGCTTTTATGTAAAAATGTGTAGAACAGGTGATACATGTATCACCTGTTCTACACATTTTTACATAATAGCAGTGAAGGGATGTTCCTATGTCTACCTGAGGAACTGTATATTTTGTCTGCTTTCTTTGTCCGTCATATTCATAGTGGGTGGAGATCAAAATGAAATCGCCCATATTTTGGACTACTTGCATGGTGGATAACTATTATGTGCGCAATAAAAAAATATCCAATATCAGTATTGTACAATAAAATAATGATTAAGAATTAATAACTAATTCAAAAAAACTATAGATAATATAGATAATATTGACTCATCAATCTAATTGTTACATCTGAATGAAATAAAAATGAATTCTCTTCTTGTTCTTGTTCTTGTTCAGGACAATTCCTCTGGCGATTATAATATCAGTCGCCTTCATCACATTTGTTTACGTGCTCGCCAACATTGCTTACTTCAGTGTGCTTAACTCAACCGAACTCCTCGCTTCCAGCGCTGTTGCCTTGGTTAGTTTGTACCATTGGTTTTTCTGTTTGTTTGTTGTTTTTGTTGTGTGTATGTGTTCCTTTTACCATTTTTTTTATCTTTTGTCTTTTGTTTATTTTTTCCTCTATTTTCATTTTCATTTTGTTAGTCGATTTGAATCATAAAAATTATCAAGACTATCATCGCAAAGTCCGGGCACAAAGTATTGTCGCACATTTTGTCGTAATAAAAAACAAGTTCTAAATAATTTATCGGTCAAAAAAATCGGCAAATTTTAGTGACATCCCTTCCCGTTTACTCCCGTTTACTCCAAACATTCTGGTGATGTCACTAAATATCAATACAATTCAATTCTCTTGTACACCAGGACTTTGGTCAGCGTGTTTTCGGAAACTGGTCATGGATTCTGAGTGTTATAGTTGCTATATCTATAGCAGGCAACTTGAACGGTGGAGCTATCACTTTTGCAAGGTACGAGTAAGCAATAATAATGGTACTGAATATGTTTTATTACTATATAGTTTATCTTTTTTTTTATTAATTTAGTATATTGTTTTATCCATATTAGTCATCATTTTATAGTTTCAACATGAAAGTTTCCACTCACCTTGAATAGGCCTATATACTAAAAAGAGCACAAGCATATTTCAAAAGGTAACGACATTCTTTCCACCAATAACTTTCATCACCCCTTCTAACCAACCAACCAACCAACCAATAACAACTATCATAACTACTATCTCTATATTATCAGTGTTCCTTCATTTTCAAGTGCAATACTACTTTATTTATTTTTTTATTTTTTTGGAATTATACGATACATTTGAATACTAAAACAATACTTCTCATTCGCTAGATCATTGCCCTTTTTTTCTTTTCCAAATAGAACCCTGTTGGTAGCATCACGTGAAGGACACATCCCCCAAGTCATATCAATGGTACACATAGATCAGAAGACACCCCTCCCTGCTGCTGCAAGTCTGGTAAATCATCCTCCAACAATTACCTTCAATTACACCACAAAAAGCAAAGCCTTCAACGGCGGATCAATATAACGGGTGGGCACCCCCCCCCCCCCCCCCCCAAAAAAAAAAAAAAAAAAAAAACACACACACACACACACAACCTGGATTATGTTCACTAAGAAAATTGGGCCTCCTAATTATTGCGCCCTAAAAATATATAGGTAACGGTATTAGACCCACGAAGGCACCTACAATATGATAATCTTGTTACTTATAGTTTTATAGTATACCCTTGTATATTATTACAAAGACAAAAAACATATAGAGCTTACAGGCTATTTGATGTTAGTTGTAATACGACTCTAAGAATCAAAAATGACATAGTCAAATTAAATTGTATCTAGACAATATATACAGGGTATGACCCCAAGTACGGATTTTACCGGCTGTAACGTTTCTTTATTTTATAATATTTTATAAAGAAATAAAGAAGACAAATCCTATCAAGTCCTAAACGGTAATCGAATATAATTAATTACAGTGCATGTGTAACAATTAGTAACAGAAGAGTTTGTGTTTTAATCATGAGAAGTTAATTTCATAATTATTAATGCAGGAAACCGTTAATGCTCTATAGACAAAATTCATGACACGTTCTATCTGGATCGAACATAGTAGGCGAGGTCTTGAAGCTTGAAATCGCTTTTATATAGGAATTTTACCAGTTCTTATTTCTTGCTTATATAGTTACCTATCAGCATAATAATGCTGGTAAGCGGAGATGTCAGCAATCTCATCAACTATACTGGTTTTGCCGGCTGGTTCTTTACTGCCTTAGCCTGTGCAATCATCCCATATTATAGATGGAAGTATCCAGACCTTAAACGACCCTTTAAGGTACGTATTTTGTAATAAAATGCTTATAGTGTTGCAAGTATACGATCCAGTAAAATAAATTGGGCAGTTCGTATTTCTATATCATTTTTGTTGACGTGTTTTTGTGTGTTTAGGCAGTGGATATGATGTGATCGGCAAACATATTGAGGAACGTGATCGGCATCATTGCCATCATCATATCTTTCCTTTTTGTCTTCTTCTATTTTGCTTCCTTTTTTCTTCTTCTTCTTCTTTTTCTTCTTCTTCTTCTTCTTTTAATCGATGTCATTGTCATTATTATAATTGTAATTATTTTTAGTGTTATTATTGTTATCATTATTGTTATTATTATTATTATTATTATTATTATCATTATTATTATTATTATTATTATCATCATCATCATCGTTATTATTATCATTATTATTACCATCATCATAATTGTAATTGCTAGAATTTATACTGTGATCATCAGCATTCTCAAGATTATAATTATCATCATTGTTACTGTTGATGTCTTTATGAGTATCGTATTTGCACACAGAGAGAATGCATTCATAAGTATATCACATCACTCGATCGTTTTTAGAAGATGGGATATTAAAGTTTAAAAGTCTTTTCATATCCTAACAGGTTCCTCTGGTAATACCAATCATCTTTGTATGTTGTGCACTCTTCCTGGTGGGTATGTCTGTCTACAGCAGCCCTGTAGACTGTGGAATAGGTTTAGCCATCACTCTACTCGGGATACCAGTCTACTATGTGGGCGTGGCATGGAAGAACAAACCTAAATGGTTCACAAATGCAATGGGTAAGTAAAATATGTACTTAGTAGTCTAGTGTGGATCCACACGTTGTACTGATCGGCCAATGGATCTCAGCCATGCGAGAGATCAAAGCGATGGAATGGGGATACGAGAGGGAGTCTTTTTCTTTTATCATCACATTCTTTCCCCATTCCCCCTTCTAATTTAACCATCACCCCTCCCCCTTTCCATCTCCTTCTCTCTCTCTCTCTCTCTCTCTCTCTCTCTTTCTTTCTCTCCCTTCGCTCGCTCTCTCTCTCTTCGCTCTCTCTCTCTCTCTCTCTCTTCGCTCTCTCTCTCTCTCTCTCTATATATATATAATATATCCCTACTCTCTCTATCCGAGTCCCTCTCCCCCTCTTCCTTCCTTATCTCTCTCTCCCTCTTTTTACTATTTTGTCATTTTCGATTGGAGGAGGCACATGCCTCCCGTGCCTCTTTATGAGATACACCCATTTTAGTCTTAAAAAAGCAGTTATAAAGCAGTCTTGTCCATCCCATAATGTACATTGATTATTTTTTATTCGGTTTGTTTTTACAGATAATCTGACAGTATTTTTGCAGCAACTCTTAATAGTTGTTCCACAAGAAGATGAGGAGAGGAAGGAGAGAGTTCAATCTTAGACTGAATAGAGTGATGCTTATAGGAGAAGCGTTCAGGAGGCGGGGGGGGGGGGGGGGAGCGTCTTTTCGGAAAATGTTGTCCCGTCGGAAAGTTTGTAGAACAAAAAAAAAAGATAAAATGAATGGACTAACAGTTGACCTGTGTTAGAACGATTAATTGAAAATCTTTCGCTCTGTCGCTGCACTCTCTTGCATAATTATATATGATTTGAATGAGAAAATGTGTAAACCATTGGTAGGCCTATGCCAAAAGACCGAGGCTTTTATTTCGGGAATACAACATTTTTTCAGTAATCTATTAGACCCCCCCCCCCCCCCCAAAAAAAAAAAAAGAATTAAAGGAGTGTCTCAAATGGATGAAATTGTTGTACCGAAAACGATTATTGTGGCGAGTTCCGAGCCCCAAGTGGAAAAAAGGAAGATAATAAGGCATGCACGTTTTTCCTGCGTCAATTGCACTTTTCCTCGACAATTCAAAACAGTTGTGGGTAAATTCATCAACAGAAGAGGACCTTTCAACTATTTTATGATAACACTGGGCTTTGATTTGAAGTAAATGATATCTAAAGACAAAGTTAGATTTTGGTTTCGTTGTTATTATATACATGTCACAGTTTGATGAGAAGATGTATTCTTAGATTTTCCGTCTTTTGTAGAGCGCCATCTTTTGTCAATAATTAACAACCTGAACAAACGCACAGAAGGAACTTTCCTCATCACAAAAGCAGGCGGTCATTAGTTTGATTCATAAAGAAGGAAAAGATCCCTTATTTATAAAAAATTATAGACCAATATCTTTATTGAATGTAGACTACAAAATTTTGACTAAAGTGCTTTCTATAAGGATTAAAAAAGTTTTAAATGATTTAATTTCTGTCGACCAGGTGGGTTATCTAAAGGATCGAAATATAGGTGAAGCAATTAGAATGATAGATGATATAATTCATCATACATCAGTCAATGAAATACCTGGATATATGATGATAATTGATTTTGAAAAGGCTTTCGATTCAGTTTCACATACTTTTTTGCAGAAGGTTTTGTTTACATTTGGTTTTGGACCATCATTTTGTAGATGGGTGGAGACTATATATAATAATGCTCAAAGTTGTGTCTTTAATGGGGGCTCATCTACTGGGTACTTTGATATTAAGAGAGGTGTTAGACAGGGGGACCCCCTGTCCGCATATTTGTTTATACTTTGTATTGAAATTTTAGCTCGTTCAATATATAAAGACCCTGAAATTCAAGGATTTACTTTTAATAACGTACATGTAAAACAAATTCTTTATGCAGATGATATGACTCTCTTTATTCGGGACTCAAATTCATTTAAAAAGGTGGGGGAACTGTTTGAAAATTTTGCTAGAAATTCTGGATTAAAAATTAATAAAGAAAAAACTTTTATATTATTGTTGGGCCCTTCTCAAAATGAAAATATTGCTCTTCCATTTGGTAAAGTAGTACAAATGGTCAAGATTTTGGGTATATATTTTTCTTTAGATGTTGAAATTCAGGAAAGGACAAATTATAAGGAAATTTTGAGTAAAATAAAAAAGTTGTTGTCTTGGTGGAAACAAAGAGATTTAACTTTAATGGGGAAAATTCAATTGATAAAAACATTTATTTTGTCAAAATTGATTTATGTATCGGCGCTGACACCAGTACCAAATTGGGTATTTACAGATTTGGATAAACTGGTTTTTGACTTTTTGTGGAAAGGAAATGATAAGATAAAGCGAAATGTAATGTTCTTGGATTATTGTAGAGGTGGACTAAGATTAACGGACTTTCATTTATTTATTTTAGTGCAGAGGATTATGTGGGTAAAGAGACTTTTAACGGGGGATGCAAACATGGGATGGAAACAATATTTTAATTATTTAACTAAAGATGCTGGAGGAATTTTGATATTTTATAATAATGCAACCGTAGGTATATCTGAATTAGTATTACCAGCATTTTATAGAGACATGTTGGATGTTTGGATGGCTACGAGAATATTTTTGTTAAAGGAAAGTGTTTCTAGGAGGAATGAGATTATCTATAGTAATAGATTTGTTTTTATCGATGGTCATGTTCCTTTTGATGAGGGATTATTTAACAAAAATGTGTATAAGTTGCATCATATTGTTGATAAGGAAGGTAATATAAAATCTAATGAGGAATTTCAAAGAAAAGGTTTAAATAGTTTAGAAATTAGTAAAATACAACATATTTTTCTTGGCATCCCGTCTTCATGGAAACAATTTTTAAATAAAAATACTCACTCAAATATAGATAGGGAATTAGATATGGATATTATTATGTTTGAAAAGGTATATATGTTAGATCAAATAACCTCAAAAATTATATACGCTTTTTTATTAAATAAGAGAGTAGAAAAATCGTATGCAGAACGACATTTAGAACAGACTTATAATATTCATGGAAAAGATATACAACTAATATTTTTAAGACTTAGAAAGTGCACATTGAATAGTAAGCTTAGAGAATTTCAATTTAAAATGCTTTATAATATTATATATACTAAATTACATTTATATACATTTAAAATGGTTGATAGTAATTTATGTTCTTTTTGTGGTAAATATGAAGAAACTTATGAGCATTTATTTTGTCTTTGTGAGAAAGTAAAACCAATTTGGGAAGAGTGTGGGAATTTATTTAATTTAGTAGAGATTACAAATATAAATTGGAAAGGTATCCATGTAGGGGTAGTTGAGTTTAACATAGGGAAGGAACAGTTATTAAATCATATCATAATTTTGATAAAATATATGATATTTATAGATAGTAAAAATAGACAAAAACCACCAACTTATTTGGAGATTAAGAAAAGATTATTAGAAAATAGAAAGGAGGAGAAGAAATTAGCTGGGGACCGAGGTACACTCACATATCATTTTAGAAAGTGGGACAAATTAGAATAGCTTCGTGCAGAATAGATAAAATAAGGAAAGCGAATAGAAGCAATGGAATGGACATGGCTGATATAATGGTCGAGATTCCCACAAAATGTAGGCATGTTTTAAGTGGGTGTCTGTGCACGTGTGTGTATGTGTGTATGTAAGTATTTTTCATTTTTTCATTTTTTTTTCTTCTCTTAAATGTCTTTTTATGTTCATGCCTTTTTTATGCATGCATGTTTCATCCTTTATTTGATGTAAATAGCAAAAGTTCATTTGTATTATTTAGATGTGAATGTAAAATCATATTCTATATAATAATATTAACATGCAGATTTTTTTATGTATTGATTTCGTTATTGTTTGTGAAAAGCAATGGAGAAAATGAAATATTATTGGGGAAAGGAAGAAAAGGAAAAAAACTTGTCAAATGCGGTCTAGCGCCATCTTTTGTTTAAAACATTATAGGAGTGTCTTGAACATTGGTGTAAGTATCGATTTAAATAGTAAAAGTTCTTTTGTATTATTTAGCTGTGAATGTAAAATCATATTCTATGGAATAATATGAACATGCAGATTATTTTATGTATTGATTTTGTTATTGTTTGTTATTATAAATTTTGTTCTTGTTTGTGAAAAGCAGAAAATAAAATATCATTGAAAACAAAAAACAATCCTTCATTATTTGATTTCATCCATTTGAAACACTCCTTGAAAAGGAAAGAAATGATCATCATAGTAGTTTGTTTTGTTAGAGTTAAAGAAAGACTTGATTTCATTGATTTGTAAAATATTTTGTTTAACTCAATAAAATAGCCTATGGAGGGCTAAAACGTTTTTTAAATAAAAAATTATTTGCGCGGGGGGGGGGGGGGGGTACTCAGATTTGGTTTGGACGGGGATGTGCGGCTGAAGCGTATAAACCCTTTGACTCATTTTCGCAGAAAATGGTACTCATTATTACGGACTTATAAATCCCTAGTGCCCCCATTTTTCAAATCTTGGCCTTAAATATGGGTTATAATTTCTCCAGGATAATATCTCGCCCATAATCTCGCTAAAGTGAAAATTACAGATGCAAAATCCCGCAAAATGAAATCAATTCATTTCGTTTTTTCATCCAAAGTCCCCTAATAATGGGTACCATTTCTGTCAAACAGAATCATTTGACCGGAAGAAAGTTCTCGTAACTGATTTGGCTTAGGCCTCCTTGATAACAATATATACTACTGCAAAATACACTCTTTTCAATGCATTCGAAACCGGGCTGATCAGATTAATTAACGTGATAAAAACAGAAATATGAAGTTGTAAACCATCAAAAGACTCCTAATGAATTGCGATATTGGTGAATTAATTATATTATTACAATTTGTCATTTTCAGTTTTCTTGATGGATAACTGACTTTTCATAACTGAAGATATAATAATTATGGACGTCATAAAACAACTACCATGCACCACCAACAACAATCACTCTGTAAAGCTCTGTCCAGTGTAATATGGGAATCGTAGTTTGAGAGAAAATTGCTATGATTTATTCTAGATTGTCAGTATTCTGCAGTAGATTGGTTGTTTGAACCAGTGAAGAAAAAAAAAAAAAAACGCACGAAAAC